CTTATGATCGTAGTTTCCATGAAATAAAACGCTTCTCGCCACATTTACACATACTCTTTAGACCCCTCGATCAAAATTTACTCAGTCTTCTGATGAGCCAGCTTCAGACTACACCCTTCAGCAGTTTTAAGCATAGAAACGCCGAAAATTACGTTCCAGCATTTGGCCCGAAGAAAGGAGCCTTTAGCGTCTTACTCTAGATCTTCCTTCCTAAAACCGAGCTGCATGTAGGATTGTCCTCCTACTGCCGCTATCTCTGCTATTAATCTATTTTTAATTATACGCTTTATCAATTTTTCCGTCGTGTCTAGCTGCTTAGGGACCTTCCGGTAATTTTCCTGACTTTGGCGGGCAGACTAATCACTGCTGTTTCCATGTATCAGGGAACACCACTTCCTCAAGGCAATTTTGAACATACAGACGAAGACTTCTGAGCTCGCCCTCGCCTCGAAATATGTTTGAGCAGGCTTTCCCGGCAATGCATGTTTTGCCTTTTCGGGATATGGTATCTTTGGTCGAACTGATGCTTCCACATTTTTGGTAACCACATTGCACGCCAAACCCTAAGGCTTTTGCTTGCTGTTTTGACGTAGAATATGTCTTACGTTTCAATATGGAGGCTATGCTCAAATGTTGTAGTTGTAATGTTTAGAGCTTTACGAAAACGCTTACTGCACTTGAACTAATGAAGCGATTTCAAAGAAATGTGTGGCGTTTGAAAGACAAAATTCCAAACCTATCGACAGATGCATTTTACTAGATCGGCTTCTGTCGGAGAAACAACGGTAAATATTGGCTTATTTTTGGGTCAATTTTGAGCCTTTACAGTGCTCTAGCAACTTACGATTTGTAGCTTAAACATTCATTTTCGGTATATAGGTTCTTTGGAGCAATAGAAATATTATTGTGTACAAATTTTATATAAGTTCAACAAATATTGAGCATTTTAATGCAAAATTTTTTTATTTTCAAAATGTTCGAAAACCGCTCGAATGATTTTATTTTTGTTTTCATTAATCAAAAATTCAAGATTTTTCCTTTCATTTGGCATGTGGGAAGTATTGGTTGATATCTCTCGCTGGAAGTGAGAGAAGGAGACAAAAATTATATGTGTGTAGGTATTCCGCTTTTGAATAACAAATAGCGCAATATTTATACAAGGCAAAGGTGAAGTGGAATATGTAGATGAAGAATATGATAAATATAAAAGTAAAAAAACAAGGATAAATTTATAGAAAAATGATGAAAAGATGAAAGGATGAGGGTACCGATAAAAGTAAAGATGAAAATAGAGGAAGAAAGATTAAAATAAAGGTAATTAAAGAGAAAAGGATAGAAACAGAGACTCAATCTGTGGACCATTGCGGTATTTTAGAGATTTTTGGAATTCTCGGGACTTATTGATATAATAATCGATATTTTATTGGTTTTGTTATCGATATTTTTTATTATCTATTTTGTTATCGAAATTTTTATCGATATTGTTATTGATGTTGTTATCGATATTTTCGGAACTTATCGATATAATAAACGATATTTTCTATCTATATTTTAATCAATTTCGTTATCGATATTTTAATCGATTTCGTTATCGATTTTTTTTTCGATTCTACTATCAGTATTATTATCGATTTTGTTATCGATATTTTTATCGATTTTGCTATCGATGTTTTTATCGATTTTGGTTGGCCATATTCGTAGCTCCCTCTGGTAGAGCAATTTCTGATGTCATATGAAGGAGTGGTCTAAAGTATCTACGCGATTTCCAGCCCTTTTGCTTTGTATTTGTCGCTAGTCTAGATAGTTTCTGGTGATTACAGTCTATCTCTCACCATGGGTGTCTCACCCTCAGGTGTTGCTCTGTTTGTCATCTTCTCCATCGTCGCGGAAGCCCAATCATACATCCTTGTGCGGCAGTTTAAAATATTAGCAATCCACTGATATGCCGCAGGATTAACCTTTCACCAGTCCCTACACTCCCTTAATGCCTTCTTGAAGACATTGCTGAAAGCTTCCTAAATGGTGAAAAAAACTTCAGCTCTGGATCGTGTGTAGTATTTTGATTTCCTCTTTGTTAAGGCAAGTTGATTTGCTGATATTTGGTTTTTTAGAAATCCCTTTTTTTATGCACCAATCCAAAGGTCTCTCAAGTGTTTTCAGTAAGAAGGAGGTCAGGCTTACAGGGTAGGCTTATCGTTTCTGGGATCCAAACCCTTCTGGACCTTTAAAAGTGTTGAACGATTTCGAGGCCCATTCCAGTCTTCTTCCGTATAAATTTGCTATTGATAAAAAAGCGGAATCAATAACGAGTTGATTGAAAAAATTTACATACATATTTTTGTTTAACAAAGACACAAATTAATCATAAAAAACGCCAATTTAACTAAACTTAGCGCAAACACTAAACAAAGCAAAGCCTCACATTTGCGTATGAATCAGCTTAACTCACACAAAAAAAAAACCTCAAAAACAAACAATTTGTCATATAAAATAGTAATTTTATGCGATATCTGAAAGAAAACAGCTTCATTCTTCACAGTTATTGTTTTTCGCCAACAATGGGGCTTTACGCTAAAAGACAAATTAGTTCGCCCTCTAAGTTTGTGTTTTTTCTTGATTTGGATTTTTTTCTACACAAAAAATTTGTAGGTTCGTTAGAAAACTTAATTTGCATGCAAATTTAGCGGCTGTCCGTAGCATGCCAATACAATGGCTAAACCAATATGTAAATAACCTAACTAGTAGTTATACAAACAAAGTTCGAGCGTGTTTATACGGTTGACTGGTGGTTGCGCGCCGAAACCGCTGCTGCTTAAGTGCTGTTTTTCGTGCGAATAACTGGTTATATTTAGTATCTCACTTAATATTTTGTAATCAAAAATTTTGAAGACTAAAAAAAAATTGCGGATGTTCTAATGAGTAATTTTGTTTTTTTTGGCGAAACCTAGAAAAAAAGCGCCAGGTTAATGAACAAAAGCTTTGGCAACCAAAAACTAATCATTTTGAGAGATATTGATTGGCTCACACGCACACACGACACAATCGAATCTAAAATCCTTTTCATTTTATTTATTCCAGCTACTTCTACCTACTCTGTCTCACACGCAATTCCAGGAAACGATAGCTTCGAGAAGAATTTTAATTATTTTCGCATGCGGGTATTTTCAGTTTCATGTCTTTATCTGCAAAAGTGTGCGACAAGCGAGAGAAAAAGAGAAACAGGGGTTTTTCTATAAACGCAGGATAAATACCCTCGTTTAAGTTGCAATTAATTAAAATTGCCATTTAATCCTTTGACCGGTGACACCAGAATGCGACGGTAGGGTCAATCATGCCACAGCCAAATCAAGCTGCCGTGAGAACAAAAACACTCCACTACTACTAGGTATGGGGGTGGATGTTGAATGGGAGTGTATGGAAAATATATACATATGTACATACGTGTTCAAGCATGTTTCTTCACTTCACAAAAAAAAAAAATGTATACTCGTATTTGGTTGCTTACATATCAATTCAATGAGCGCGCCGCCACACATCACAACGCTGGCCATTAAATGGAAATTAATGTCGTCAGCATATTTAGTCATTGGACGACTGTCAGCCCTCCCTCCTATTCTCCATCGCCTCCTAGCCGCCATCCTATCCTCCTATCATTACTTCTTTTATCTTCTGCCCGCTCTTTATTTGCCTTACTTACTTAGCTGGCTGGCTATTGGATCGTTGTTGTTTGCCCATTTCGTTGGCGACAACTGCGGTTGGTTAGCTATTAGCGCTACGCGAAATTAATTGATTGCCATTAGCGATAAACATGAATTTCCTTTGCATTTGAAAGCAGCAGCAGCGATCGTCCACAATGACGTTGATGCGGAGGAAATGAGGTAGTGGTAAAATTAAGTAGCTGGGTTTGGCAGCCACACTTTCCGCTTGATGGTTGGGGTTGGGGTTGGGGTAATAAGGGTGTGAATAAGGCTTAAGTTGACATGAAGTTGGTGTGAAGAAACTTAATTAATTGCTGATATCTACATATGTATGCATGTACGGAAATTTACATATTACAAACACTTTTCATTATACTCAGTTATGATTTATGCGTGCTAATAATATTCATATCCATTGTACGCACTTACATAAGTATTTATGTACATACATATGTATGTATGTTCGTGCAATATCACACAAAATTCGAAAGTATTTATGAGAGTTTTGCGTGAATTTTGTCTTGTGTGGGAATTTATTTTCATCTTTATCTACTCGTGTATGTACATATACAGCCTTGTTCTGCATTTCGATTCCGATCAAATTTTTCGGTATCGAAATGAATTGGTGTTCTTGATTTCGATTCCGACAAAATTTTTTCGATTTGAAAAGTTTTCACTTTGCCTAGTCGGAATGAAAAGTAATTGGCTAATTAAACCCAAATATATATGCTGTTTGTCAGCCAATTATTTTCTTTTGAATTTTCATAATATTGAGAGATTTTATAAGTCGTTATTGCTTTAATATGTATTCAAATACTTTGATAAATCTCTATCTTAAAATTGCTCTTTAAAAATTACTTAGCCAAACAAAGCGAAATCGATCGTAATGAAACGGACCTGTTCTTGATTCCGCTCCAGCGCATGCGCAGTATTCTTCGAAAAGTTCCATATTGCCATGCTTCATAAATAATATTCGAACATAGATTTTTATGTTCTTGGCATTTATTCGTGCTTTAACATTCGTTCGAGAGTTAGCAAATATTTGGAAAACATTTCAGAAATACGTTGGTGCCTTTAAATTAATGCATTTTGTAAAAATAGTTTGTTTCAATGCAGTTTTTATACAGAATCTGCGAATGGTGGTAACCCCTAACAATAGAATCATCGTAATCAGCTGATTGTATTTGTAAACAAACTAAATACTTATTTCGAAGCAATAAGAAAGGAAGGAGCACAATGTAAGTAAGCAAGTTATTCATTTTATTAGTGTTAATCATTTATGTATTTATATTTTAGGGGAAAGAAACGAAACGCAAAGCAGGAAGAGATTATGCTCTCCTTTATGCAGCAAAATGAAGGAATTGCTAAAGGTTTTTCGAAAGGCGACAGGGTTCAGATTGAAGCGAAATGGGCAGAACTAACCAGCTCCCTCAATGCTGTCGGTCCGCCCTGCAAGGATTTGGGTGGGTGGAAGAAGGTATGTCTTACTTACGTAGATACATTTTCGTACTTTGTTTCACAGTGATTTAATTACAGTCTTGGGTGGATTGGAAGGCCACTATCAAGAAAAAGCTGGCAAGCAACCGCCGAGAAAACATGGCCACTGGTGGCGGCCCATATTCGCAGCAGGTTATTTCCCCCACTGAAGAAGCAGTTGCGGTGGTTTGCAACCTTTACAGGGCTGTAGAAGGTATTAGGGGCGCAAATACTTTTGGCCACGCTTCAGTCCAAAGCGTAGTTGTCGGCGAGGAGGCCACCGACCTTGCTGCTGAAAATGTTGGCAATGAAAGCAACACAAGCTTTATAGAAGTGATTGACGATACAATCGAAGCCACTGGGCCACAAAGCACATCAAGGCAGCGTCGACATTCAACTGACGCATTCGAAGTGGTTTGCATTGAGCAAAACAGTATACTAAACCGTATTGCCAAAGTATTGGACGAAGTGCTGGTGCAGAAGAAAAACGAGTTCAAAGTAATGGAGGAAAAAGAACAGGAGAGGAAAAGACACTATCAAAGAATGGAAGAAATAGAGCAGGAGAAATTGGAAACGCTAAAGAAGTTTCTATAATGCAAAGTTAAAGTTGTGAAAAATATCATATGTTGCTGTGAATCTGTGTTCATTAAATATAAGTGATGTGTATAAACGTGTGTAGATGTAGCAAATTTCCCAGCGAAAATTCAAAATAATTCCTAGTGGTAACTAATTATTGAAGGAATTACGATTACTTTTAACTATGCATTTCTGGTAACGCAAAATGGTATACAAGGCATTACCACCTATAATAAGATAATATTGAAGTAATATATTTCTGAAACTAAAGTTATTGCCGAATATTGCTGATGAGCTTATCATATGTAGGTGTTAATGCCGTGCATACCATTTTGCATTGCCAGAAATGCATAGTTAAAAGTAATCGTAATTCCTTCAATAATTAGTTACCACTAGGAATTATTTTGAATTTTCGCTGAGAAGTTTTGCTACATGTAGGTTTTCATATACATATATACAGTTGCGCTCACGTAAATAGCACACCTGTATTCACAATGTTTTGCGTAATAAATTTTGTTCGTTATTTATTTATAAAAATATAGAAGATTCTAAGTATAAAACTCTGTGCACAATTCAGGAAAATGAAACAAATCTCAAAGTTTTTCTACTTTAGAAACTTATTGGGTATGCAGTTTTGTAGCCCATTCAATTTTAGAATACTAATGTACAGGTTTGAAAATTCTGAAAAATAAATAATAAATAAATAACGAACAAAATTTATAACGCAAAACATTGTCAATATTGTAAGAAATAAAAGTGTGCTTTTTACGTGAGCGCCTATGTACATATACACACATATACAGTTACTCAAAAATTTTTTATTTGATTTTTACACGACATTGAAAATGTTTTTCATGGTAAATTTTTGTTTTTAAACATCTTATAAAAAATAGTTAATTTGATAACAAAACTATGAACTAAAATTAAACTTTTTGAAAAAAGAATTAACAAAACAATTTTCCAAGGAAAACATTTTCAATGTGGTAAAAAAAATTTATCAAAATACTTTCTTTACTACCTACCTGTATGTATTTCTAGAAATTTCTATCAAAAACGTCCAAATTTGTGTGTATTTTATTTTTTTATTTTTTTACTCTGTCCAAAGACTGAAACTTGAATTAATCTGATTTTTGTTAGAGACCTAACAATGTTTTAAATAAAATATCAAAACTTGTCAATACGATTAACAGCTATTATTTTACCGGCCAGCATTTGAAAATACCATTACTAACAAATATGGGAAACATTGCGAGTATTTAAAAAAAATTTTCTTTGTTAAATTTTGTCAGCAAGGGTAACTCAACAATTTACATTTGAAACTTGCACATTGTTATATTGAAATTTAATGGGGTACAAAACTACTCAAGTAGCTAAAAATTACCTTTGATTATTTATAATTTTTTTGTCTTCCATATAAAGATAGATTTTGTTCATGCGTTATATGGAAGAAAATGTGCTACAGTCTCTACAAAAAAAAATCTTAAAAATCAAAGGTAATTTTTAGCTACTTGAAACTTGCACTTCGTTGCACTAAAATTGAATGAGCTAGTTACAAAACTGCCTACGCGAAATTTAGATCAATATATTGAATAAAAAGTTTGAAGTTTTGATAAAATTACCTTAAAGTTTGATTAATGTTTGTTAATTTTGTACAAAGTTTGCAAGATTGATTTATATGGTTTTTGTTATAGAATGAGGTGTATTTTAAATAAAAGTTAACGAAGAAGATTTATGATGCAAAATATTGTGAATATTGTGGTAAAACTAAATTACGAAAACTTCTGTGAGCGACTATGAATTTAAATATTTCAAAAATTAGATTTGTAAACCGCGGGCCACTTCATCCCTTAATTCCACTCCATCTACAGCCGGCTGATAATCATTGTCGCTCTCGTCTTCAGAATTTCTACTTGCCATTTCCTGATCATGGCCATCTTCTTCATTCATCTGTATGTTACGCCTGCGGCAAATGTTGTGTAGCGCACAGCAAACGTTAATTAGCTGAGTAACAAACTTTGGTTCGTATTGAAGAGTTCCTTGTAAACATCGGAATCGGCTTTTTAATAAACCGATTGTACGCTCAATTATGTTGCGAGCAGAGGCATGTCTCTTGTTAAAAGCATGTTCTATTGATCCATGCTGTGGGTTCCTATATGGCGTCATTACGAAGGTTTCCAAGGCATAGCCGGAATCTGCCAAAATCCAAGTATTTTGAGCGCGATTGTTGCTATAAAATTGCCTTGCATAACTCTGATTCCAAATAAATGAATCATGACATGAACCCGGGTGGCTCGCATCTACTGCCATTATTTCCATATTGTAATTACAAATCTGTTAATATTATAAATATGTACGTGTTTTTATTACAAAGAAAATTGTTTATTATTTAACAGCTTACCACCATTGCATTTATGCTAAAATATCCCTTCCTATTAAAAAACAGAGACTCGTCATCTCTTGGTTTTGACTTTTTTATGTGTGTTCCATCCACACACCCAATGACACCGGGAATATTGAATTCCCTATAAAAATGTCCTTTTGATGAGTTCATATCCGCGGGCGACATCTTCAGCTGAATGAATTCTTCACAAAGGCAGCTCTCCAGCTCCTGTACAACAAAGTGCAATACCTTGGAAAAGGTGCTTCTGCCTATGTTGATATCTTGGTCTTTAGAAATCCCCAACTGATAGGAGCCAGTTGCTAAAAACCGAAGTGTGGCTGCCAGTTGCGTAGTCGGTGTAATAAAGCGATGCCTTTCCGCTAACCTATTTCCTATTTTATCTAATAGCATTTTGAAAACTTCTTTGTTTACGCGATAAGACTCTATAAACCTAAAAAGTATGTACATATCAAGTTAGACAAAGAAAATTGCATTGAAGGGTAAACTTGCTTGGAATCCAACTTTTGAAATATGTCCACATGCATCCTTAGCTGACGATTTTTTTGTTTTAAGCGTTTAATAACACGCCTTCTTGCCTCGGCACACCCAAAAATCATTGGCGCTGGCATTTTATCAATTTTATTTAGATTTAAATTAATTTTACACAAATAACTGACAACAGCTGTTCCATTTTATTACCGAATCGAAATGAAAACGATTCGAAAACGATTTCGAACTTGTTCGATCTCACTCGGAATTGAGAACACCACCACAAAAGATAGTCGGAATGTGTATCGTTTTACTTTTCAAAATGAGTCGAAATGCAGAACAGGGCTGATAATCTTTTTGTTATTTAAATCAATTAAGAGAAAGTATAAAAATATATTAGCAGCGATAGCGTCGAGGGCTTAAATGCAAGGCTTTTCACTTTGATAGAAGGAAAATAGATTTGAGTTAGGAGTCTAACTACTTTAACCTAATTTAGCGCCACACCTGATATTCTTTATAGAGTTTCTAGTTACATTCAAATTATTATGACATAATTTTTGACTTTCTTCAGCTCTGAAATGTAGTTAAACCTTTAGTGGAAATAGGCTATTATTCTGACTATGGCGAGCTCAATAATATTTACAGCGCTTTTCTGACAAAATTAATAAATCAAGTTTCTCATAAAATAAATGATTGTTAAAAAATGTGTTTCTTGTAGCAATAATTAAATCCTTAAATAAAAAGAAAATTAAATAAAAAATAATAATTAATTAAAATTAAATAAAAGAAAGATTAAATACAAGCAAGAATAATAAAATAAGTTCCTTAAAATTAAATGAAATAAAAAAAATAGTATATTCTAACTTAAAAATTTAAAAAATAAAAATAAAAAGAAAGAAAAAGAAAAAAGGAAAAATTAAATAACTTCCTAAAAATTATGTAAATGGGAATACAAAAAAATTTTCTTTCTAAAACGTTCAAATCTAAAAATTAAATGAAAATTTAATAAATGAAAAAAATAAATAAAATACCAGAAAAAATTAAAGTTTCTAAATATTGCACAAAATTCAAAAAAATCTAAAAATTTAATGTAAAATGGAAAAAATTATGAAAATAAAAAAATAAAATAAGTTACTAAAAATTGTATAAAATAAATCTTAAAATTAAACTAAAAAAGAACAAATAATAAATTAACAAAAGAAATTTCCGTTATTTTTTGTAAGACTTTCGTGCCTGAATAGAAAAAAATAATAATTAAAATAACAGAAAAAATTTAAAGTTTCTAAAAACTGCATAAAATTTAAAAAAATAAAAGTTTATTTTAAAAAGGATAAATTATGAAAATAAGAAAATAAAATAAGTATTTAAACATTTTATAAAATAAATCTAAAAATTAAACTAAAAAAAAATAATAAGACTTTCGTGCCTGAATAAACAAAATCATACAAAAGTCTTTCAACTACAAGGTGGCGCAAAATTAGCCATCCAATTTTGTCTTTGAATAACTAAATAAAAAAAATATTTTGAGTGATGGAAATCTTTATTTGTACCTTTAACAATTTTTTCTGTTGAGTGGAAAAGATGATATCCGTCAAGTGGCTGCCGCCAGTGTTGATATTTCAAGTAAGTATGAAATAATACGAAAATTTTTGATTGGATGAAAAGAGTAGGCACACCCTTGTTACTCACACTCGCTTCAATAATGACGTGTTGTTTTTTCTTAATATCTACGTTCTTTAATAACATGAGTTTAAATTAGGCACGACCAAAATCTATCGCCCGGTACAAACTGTTTCGAGCTTTATTCAAATTTTATACAAACGCACAAAGAGTAAAAGCTCTCTGATGGTTATTGCTCTAAATCAGTAATTATCAGAAAGAATTCTACGGAAAGCTTAAACAACTGTGTGACTTAAAGCTGCTTAATGAATGTTGTAGTCCTAAAACAATGCTTTGATTTTGATTCAACCTTAAAGCTAAGTACCAGATTATCACAAACGTGGTTCAGTTGGCGCAAGCCATTATTTCTTGACTGAATTGTGGCAGGAAAATGTTCTAGCAAAATTTATTTTGGGATCGTTATTTTTTTTTTTTTGGCAATCAGGCTTTGATTACAATCTTTTCACACAGAAAAAAACTAAGAGCAATTCTGTTAGATAGCAAAAATAGTAACTAGAAAGCCGAAACGACAACAACAATAAATAAATTTCAAACACTCGCAAAACCGCAACAACAGCACTAACAGAATAAATGAATGAATGATGGGCACCAAGCAACCGGCAACAAAACGTAACCAGCTCAACGGCAACCACCAGAGCAATCTGCAACATGCAAACTTGCACAAATTATGATGCAGTGAGGCAACAAATGTCTTGCCATATACCTCAAGTACTATATGTACATATGTATGTAGTTATATGCACTGCTGTTTGAGAGCATTTCAGTTGTTATCACCTGCGCCTGACATGACATGTTTCTTGGAAATAGAACTCTGCACTGCTGTTGCTTGTCGTTGACGATGGCGATGGCGATGGCGATGACGAAAATTGCAAACAACATTGTTGTAGGCGTTTAGGTGATGCCAGCCACAATGTTGACAAGGAAACAAATCTTTATTTTTTTTTGTTGCACTACTGAAGTGTATGCAGCAGCCACATGCAACGTGAACAAATGGCCACACTGTGCTAAGGATTCTATTTAGATGGCCAACTATTTATGCATGTAAGCACATTTG